TGCCGTAACTACTCGCCTCAAGATGGCACCTTCTAAGCCACGCCAAAACGCGGCTACGAAAGCGAGAACTCGTTTATGCTGTTTCCACCGTGCTTTGGTTCCGGTGCCCGCCATTTTTTGAGGACCCTGCTCATGCAAAGCGTGAAACTCCCATTTCGAAGAGTAAATGCGGCCACACTCGCCGGCCCCTCACCTAAGGTTGGCCGCCTATTTCACGTGCTCGACTAACGCTAGGCACCTATTAGACACATCGAATGTAGACGAACGATATCAGCATCTAACATTCCTATCCCAGCGCCTTTCGAATATTCGTACAGGTGTGAGCTGGACAATCCAGAGACAAAATTCTTGGGTCCCATCTTTAAGCAAGAGGGTCTTTTACCTAGCGAGGAAAAATATGTGCTATCATGAAATACACTGTACCATCCCCACTCAAGGAACTGAAGGCACTTCTCGGTTTGTTTAACTTCTAACGACGTTTCAGTTACGAACAGTTACGAACATTAACCGAGATAATTCGCGGTAATCAAAGAAATTCCGCATCTACTGCATTTTCAGAGATCAAAATTATTTTTGCTTAAGCTATACACATCGCCCAAGCAAACCCTTTAGCCAAGCTTGGTATAGTGGTTGGTGCATAGAATTTCGCTATACGAGCTGTAATGCAACAGAACATTTCCGGAAATTGGCAACATCGCTCCCACGAGAGACGAGATAAAGAGTTTTAGTCGAGAACTTCTAGCAGCGTATTGTGCCATCAAACATTTCCGGCACACAGTAGAAGGTCGCAACTTCAACCTTTTCACCGACTATTAGCCTCTAACATATGCTCTTCATACCAAGTCTGACCTCTACTCACCACGAGAATGCAGACATTTGGATTACATCTCTCAGTTCACGACCAACTGTTTCTATATCAAATGGGGAGTCAAACTATGTTGCCTATGTCAAGTCACTTATCCAAATAAATGCATTATCTTTACCGGTGATCTATCTCCCTGCTATGGCTGCTGCCCAAGCAAGCGATTACTCCAGTACAGAAGCTCTACATTCTACATCCTTTCAGTGCCGGCAAGAACACCTAGCTACTAGCTCAGCTACTGTCCTGTGTGATAAATTTGCTGGTCTTCACCGACCCATCGAACGAGCAGCTTATCGTCGTCTCGTCTTCGTTGCCCTTCATGGACTGTCTTATCCAGGTATAGCAGCCACATTGAGCCTCATCGCTGCACGATACGTCTGGCCGTCCATGAATAAAGATTTCCGTATGTGGGTAAAGCAATGGTTACAATGCCAACAATGAAAAGTGAACAGGCACGTAGCCGCCCCGATTGGCACTTTCGATACTGCAGATATTGTGAGACAATCGCCACCATCGCATGGATATGATAATATACTCACGTGCATCGATTGTTTTACAAGATGATCCGAAGCTATTCTCATCACTTCCATTACGGCAGAGGCAGTCGCTCACAGCTTCGTAGAACGATGGGTAGTGCTGTGCGGTTGTCCTTCAACTGTCACGACTGACCGAGAACAAAATTTCGCGTCCGAGTTATCCTCACCGCTGACCCGTCTGCTTGGTACGGAGTGCATACGCACTACTGCCTGCCACCCAGCCTCAAGTGGTTTCCTTACACAGTTGCATCGCCAACTTGGAAACGCTCTTCGACCACAAGAAAGCAACAACTGATACGAAAACTTACCGCTCGTCCTCTTAAGCATCGGAACGAGCTTAAAGACAGATATTCAATGTTCCGCCTCTGAACTTGTATACGGCACGACATTGCATCTGCCGGAGGAATATTTCACATCACGGAGCAACGACTTTATGTATATCACATAACCTCCAACGACTTCCCGCGTACATGCGAACACTATCACTGGCGGGATCCCTACATCTACTTCGGACCGCACGCTAGATATACTTGAGACCTCATCCTCACGTCCCAGTCAACAGCATGCGTCATCTGCACTATCTATGGATGAGATCTCAGTACCACATCCAGATCGGAAGACCACGCCACCTTTGACTTCAGATGAGATTGCAGTCTCAAGCTCTCATACACGAATTACGATTAAGACTATCGTCTCACGTTCCGGTCGCAAAGTACATCTGCCTGTTTGCTTTCGTGACTAGCCTCAGTTGGCAACAAGTAGGGTTTAAGATTATAACACTTACCACATGCTTTCTACACCTTTTGCTTTTTCTCTGATTTTTGTATCCTCAGCCGACGCACCCGACCTTCGCCCCCTTGGTATCATCGACTTCAGTCAATCTTGGCAAAAGCTAGCTTGATCAGTTACGCTAGAACACACATTACGGAAAGAACACGATTGCGTCACAAGACGAGCCGTCCCTTCAAATCTCCAGGATCAAAGACAAAACAGGGAAACCAAGGAACAAATTACGCCGAGAATCGTAAGTAGATATAAAAAGAATGGGCGAAAATTGGATAGAAACCTGAAAAGGAAGGCCCTGAACATAAAAGAATGAAAAATATTTGTCGGTGTTCTAAACTCAGCGAGGAGTAAAAGGCTCAAGTAAGTATATGCGAAACTCATCAGCAGTGGCCATCCGAGATTCTCAAACGCAGGACTGGAACTTAGAACGCCGATCCTATGCTAGACTACATTTTGTAATATTGTCTTTGGGAAGTCGTTTATGGAACTTTGAAGCAGCAAAGCATCGATTACTGCGCCTTCACGTGTACTTGAACAAAACGGTCTTGTGAATAACCGTTCATCTGACATCAACTCTCATCCTGATATATCAACCAAAATATGCTCTTCTATGCAAGGATGGTTGCGATCGGCTTTAATGGAAGTGACTCAAACCCCTCTATTTACGTCACAGACTGGAAATCAAGGTTGATATTAGCAATTTGTGAACCTAAAGTCCATGTTTTTTTGGAATGAATCACACACAGATGACCAACCTTTTCCTTTTCATGCGAAAACTGACGGATGGCCAGAAAGCATATGGTCTTCAGAAGAATGTTGATAAATAACAATATCTTCATCCTGAAGGCAAACATCTGATTGTGATTTATTCTATTTACATCTATATATACGAACACGTCTTATGAATAAGTGCATGAAATTCTGGCTAATATCGTTTCCCCTACCTAATGATACTGCATATTTAGTTAACGAACACTGCATAGAGCCAAATAAGAGCTATTATCATAATTCCTCAGGAAGATTTCCATCTGGTGACAAAATTTTATTCGATCCTGTGACTAGCGTTCTGCTTCTTATTCAGCCCAGGATATCTTAACTAGGATATGTCTATTCTGAGGTTGAATGCAGTGAAGAACATTATGAAGACCTTTGTTTCACCTCACATACATTTGAGTTCTTTCACATGTATTTGTTTAATGCCTTCTATTAATTAACTCAACATACAGCGCCATTCATACAGCGACAACTTATCTGTACCTCTGTACTTTTATTACTGTTCTGCTTGTATGAGTATGTATGCTTGAGCCTTGCTTAACGCCTATGTGCATATTCATTCTAGTCCATTTAATGTTAGCCCCTAAATAATTCCATGATTCATTCATTTTCTACGGATACATATGTACATTTCTAACGTACTCACTCACTCACTTGCTCTTCGGCACTCGAATATTATTTTCACTTCATGTACCTGTGGTTTTGTTATCTGTGTGTGGCATGATGATGAACGTCATCATAGCTTCATACTTGTATTCCGATTTGTACACCAATTAAGCTTTAATCAGTAACTAATATCAGGACCAGCTGCACACGCAGTTTATAAATATCTCTAATACCCTCTCTCATCTATTGTCAGGCGCCATCACTTACCTCACTGTCAGGCATACAGAAGATTCACACTCATAGTTGTGTATATTACCTGGTGTTAGTTATTTTATAACTGCTTGTAGTTATGTCATAACTAACCAATCAGATTGGTTAAGCGCTCACCACGTCATCTAGTCTGACCGGTCTATGAACTTTCTTTGTTGTGAACGGCCTATCGATGGAAGGATGTTATTATTTTATTTTATACAGATGTGAATCATGTTTTTTATTCATTTTCTAAAGACAGGCTATACTGTCCGGTACGTTTGCACATCCTGCTTGATAATTGTAATTTCCTTATTTATTGTACTAAATTAATCGTTTTCTTTTTGTTTAGAAACAGATAAAGTTTAAAACCAAATTGTCTTCTGTTAACTATAGTTTCACTCTGGATGCTGTCATCGGCGGTATTTGCGTTTACGTTTTTAGAATTACATCTGTAGGACAAAATTAAATCCTACACCTGGTGCAGTAAAGTAGTATGTGTTCTCATTCATCCAATGTGTTATATCCATGACCTTGTAAAACATGACTAATTTGTGATCACTATTTTTAGTAAATTATAGACATGTACATACACTTGTTCAGCCAGTCCCCATCTCTAAGCAGCTTATGGAATCACTCTGTGGTAGTTGCCCTCTGCTTGCTGAATTTTCGGGACGAAGTGTTAAAGTCTTTAGCTACTGTGTGATAGAATCTTAGATATGATAGTTGCATAATCGCCTTATAGAATCGGGATTTAATAACTCTAAGACAGGTAAATACTTAAAATCAACCAATATGTTACTGTCACCTCTGTTAGTTGAGTACTGCATGGCGTTACTGCCTACAAATGACTGTTGATGTGTATTACAACTCTGCTTATCGTTTAGCATACCCTATCGAATAAATAGAGTGCTACGCCTCATAAACTTACTTCGTCTGCAATGTCGTAGGATAACCAAGTTTCAGTGCAGAATATGATTTTCAGACTAAGCTGAGAACGCATGTTTTCGATCTCTGATAATTTACGCCTTAGTCGTCTAACATTACTATAGAAGCTCTTTATAGTTTGTCTTATCACCTGGCGTGCCTCTGTATGAGCGTAAATTCAAAGTTTTCCAAACATGCTGACTAGAGATACAACATCAAATGGAATCTTAGTACTTTCTGTTTGTTTGATTGACCCAGTCACAAGGTCGTAGAACGCAAATACTTTGGGAGGGAGTACGGTTTGTGCTCAGGGGATGGTAATTGTTCATGGAATCCCTGCCTTCTAATGTTAGTTTCATACTTTGTTTATCCAAATATTGTTTCAAACAGGTTTTGGAAAAGATTGTGTCTCTCCTGCCCCTTACTGATCAGAAGGCTGCATCATTAACATGTCGAAAACTTTACATTACTCTCTCACAAAGTATTTTCCTACTGAAACGACGTTACATTTTGCGGGAGTCAATAGCAAAAACAAATTTTTTATTTTGTGATTCAAACTTTATCAATGGTCGGGATTCAGAATCTACCCAACTTAACTTATATAGCCCATCTGTTTCACGTTGCTGGAGTAACTGGATAACCAGTTTATCTTTCAAGTATTCACACCCAGATCCAATAGAACTTACCTTCCTTTTGCAAAAATGCCCACGCCTTCAGTCGCTTGATCTGACTGAATGTGACAATTTGTTCGATATATCCTTGTGCACAAGTACGTTCTTATCTGAAGCTGCTGACAGAAATGCCATCAGCGAATGTTTAAATAGCTCAACAATCAAACTTACACTGGCTAATATATCTACCTTAAATGATGTTCATCTTAAAAACCTATTTGAGACGTTTCGCGGTGTACGTGACATTGACCTTAGTGGCTGTCTGTTAGATTTTAACTCTTCAAGCGTAGACTGTGAAAGCAGTTTAACATTCGCCAACCTCCTCTCTCTCATAAGTGGTTTGGGAATAAACAGCAGTTTCAAAAAACCGTGTGGTGGAACGTTACGTCTAAATTCTACATCTATAAATGACATGTCGTTGTCTGCTTTAGCAACCACACCTGGACTATATTTATGTGGCATATATTTGGATAATTGTCGAGAATTGTCAGATGGTGGATTGTTATCGTTAATCATGTCAAACAGTGTGTCAAATTGCCTCAAAGAGATTTCATGCGGTTATCCTGGACACAGAGTGACGTTTCGTGTTGCCGAAGCTCTACTGAAACGATTTGCTAATACTCTGACTTATGTTAGGCTTACAAATTGGTCATTCTTAGCGAATCCACGTATTTGTTCTCTTCTTCAAAAGTGTTTAGCTATTGAGTACCTTGATGTCACCTCTTGTTTTACCTGTTCAAACCTCTTGACCCGTAGTTTTTCACTTCATTTCGGTCGACTGACAGGTCTGGTACTCTCAGGTCATTCTGATTTGAGTGACGAAGATCTAAACACGATATTCAAAAATCTTAATGGTCACCTGAAACTACTGGATGTTAGCTCTTGTGTGTGTCTCACTGATCTATCGTTGTCTGCAGTTTACACTTACTTTCCATGTTTGGAAACATTACTTGCAAGATGGTGCAAAGGATTTACGGATTCAGGCATTTGTAATATACGGACAGATATTTCCAGTGTTTCGGACCCAGGATTGTTCGGTTTGAAGAATCTCAAATCGGTTGACCTTTCTGATTGTGGGAAAATAACTGGTTCATCGTTTACCTGCAAATATGTTGGTAATTTTAAGATGCAGAAGCTTCAATCTTTTCGTATCGGTCGCATAGGTTCATTACGTGGTAGTATTCTGGACTCGATTCCGTATATTGCTCCTCAGCTGCGTATTTTAGATATTTCTCGCTCATCAGCAGATGATGAAACAGTTAAACTGTTAACATACAGACTTCAAAATACCTTAAGAGAATTATTTGTTTCAGGTTGTGAAAATTTAACTGACCAGTGTCTAGTCAACATTTTTCATAATATTCCTTTCTTGCAAATACTTGATGTCTCGTTTTGCTCTTTTATTTCACAAGAAGCTGTGTCTACCTTTAGAAAGTCGATGCCGTATTTGCATTATGTTAAAGCAATATATATTGGTTCCCGTCTAAGAAGCGCCCAGTTTATTTAGTTATTGCCTATTTTTTATCTTTTCCTCCCTCCAAGCCCCCGGTTTTATTTTTACAGTGGCTTTTAAACGCCGTAACATATGTTATTCGTAAGCGCCCCAATAATTGATTTATCTTTTCAGTTTGTTATTATTTTGTCGCCAGCATTTTTACTTGTGATCTCGCTGTTAACTTTATATTTCTTTTGACTAGTGTGCATTTCAAAAGTTACTTAAATTTTGTATTACTTTTCTTTACTGTTCTAAAGTTTTTTCTGAATTAAAAGTGAGAGTGTTTTTATGTTTTTCTTCCCGATGATGTCCGTATAATCAATCATTTGTTGTTAATGACTTGAAATTCTCTGGTTATTTGATGGAGTTTTTGTATCTTTTTGCACCTTCATTCAGAATCAAAGTAACTATATAACCGCAACAGCACGTATGAGTCACTTCGAAATTTACAGTGTAGAACCTGGCATTTATGTGCATCATTTCAATTCGGCACATCACGTTGAGATGATAGAGTAATATAGATGGTATCATTATTAGTGGAAGCATAAAAGATATGACTCGATATAATATAGATTTGCAGAGTACCGAAATGATGCTCTAGAATAATTAGGAAAATTATGATTTGCAGAAAGAGAGGGAACTTGCACGACTGAGTACAATTCTGAGCTATTTCTACCAAAATTTCCTTACCAGTAGTTATAATAATTGTGCAAACCTTAACTATATTTAGAACCAACTCATCTACATGATTCAGTCCAACAATAAACGACTGACTCTATGGACCGATGTTACTCTTTAGTATAACCTAATTTAGTAGTTTGAGCCTTCCCCACACTAGGCATGGTAGCGCGTCAATATAGGAGAACGTTGATCATACGTAATACATTTTCTAACAGTAGATGTAGACCCATTATCTTGCCAATCAGTTTGCCGTGCTTATCTAGACGACCATCACTACATAACGCGAGTGGTTGCTACGATTTCTTTATTATTTATCATATGCAATCACTGATCTAGTTATCCAATTTAATACGAACATAAAATAGTCGGTATTGTCATCGAATTATTTAAACAATTAATAAAGCCATTAGAATGGACATGTGTAGGTGATAAACAATGCCCGAACGTACATGCACACACTAGCTCTATAATGATAAAAGTACGAAATGTATGTGAGATGCTACAATAGCTTCCTCCCAGAAAACGAATATATAAATGTGTCTGTGTTTTCGAAAAATATCTGAGACTAATCAAAATTTACGGAATTAAGATTTATTGTAAGTATATCGTGTTCATGTATGTTCGTGATTTATCAAAAAAAATACAGCAATGTTTTAATCAGATCATACATCGTGGTATGAAATGCACGGTGTATCGAGTCTAATAATTGATAAGTTAAAATTCTCGAGCTGCACATGGGAAACGAAAAGGAAGAAATTTTTTATCTAAAGCAATGAAAACAATTATCGCTTCTTCTGATCACTTTAAATGGACCATCGTAGGCTGGTTGTAAAGGATGTTGCACATTATCCCTTCTGATAAATACATGGGTAATGCCGCTCAATTGCTTCGGTATGTACACCCGATGTTGATTTTCCTTGGAAGCATTATTCTTCAATCACTTATGTATTCTTTTAGACGTTGTACATAGTTGGCTATATCATTTGGAACACTTTTATCTAAGGTGAAAAACTCTCCTGGTTGATGCAGAGTAGTTCCATAAACGAACTCTGCAGGGCAACATCCTATATCTTGTCTAATTGTTGATCTTAAAATCAGCATGACTGACAAAAGCTTGTTGGCCCAATTATTGTTGTCAATAACATTGGTAAGGGATGCCTTAAGTTGACGGTGTAGTCTCTCTAACATACCAGTGTCCATCCTAAGAATCGCTCACTCAACGGCCCAACACCCAAACAGTGTTTTGACAGAATCTGCAGTCAGATACTGGTAACCCACAAGTATACTCAATTTTTAAAGGCGAAACTTCCTATCCATGATGTAGATCTAAGCGAACTGTTCCTCAGTAAACTCCTCCTTGGGATGGTGTATCAATATTTCTCGTAAACACTAAGTGATCTGGACTGACAAAACCAATCGAGTTTTCTGAGTCCATACTGATATTTAGTAATACACAGACCTGACGGGACTTCCAAGATAAATGAAGTGACTGGTACGTTCAACTAATTACCCCTTATCATTAGTTGAGCTTAATCACTCCTGATTCATCCTTTTGGATTTCGATGAAAAAAACATGTTTGTACTATTACCCAAGATGACCAAAAGTCTACTGAAAGGTCAGGTGATAAAAGTGTTACTTTCAAAGGAAAGTCTACGACAAAGTGAAGTTTAAATCAAGGATCATCGACAGATCTCAATTGCTCATACACTTCGTACATGCTATATTTTCTAATATAATATTTATGATTATCAAATCTTAGGATTGATGGGAAGTATAAAACTGTGAACCAGTTATTTTGATCGTCATTTGGTACGTTCAATACTTGATATCCATATCGATTTCAGTGTTTATCCGTAAGCTTTGGCCCAGTGACTGGGATTTCAGACGTAGTGCATTTTATGTAGCCAAATTTATTCTCAGTTTTTATTTGAGTAAGCGAGAAACAATGTTTCCTGAAGTTTGATACTAGCAAGAGGGAACTGCAGTTCTATAGAATATTCACTCGAAGATTTCTTAGAATCTGTTGGGATACCTAGTATATTATTTAATCCATTTACTTCCAGTTAAATTTATTTACTTTCAATTTTTTAAAATACGAACATTCATATTAAATTTGAACCAGCGATAAATTGTGACAATTAATATATTGAATGATAATTTTCAATTCTAGTTTAATACCGATGTTACATAGTGTCAATATGATACATCCTACGATGTCTGAATAATTTATTAATAATGTTGGAACTACATAATAACAATTAATACTTAGGTTTACACGTAATATAACAGTCTCACTGGATGGAGCTACACATTTATCAGGATAACTCACAACCAGAAAACAAAAAGCCCTAACATGAGAGTTAACAATTAAAGAAGGTGTGTAGCACTTTCTCAGCTGAAAGTGTATTATCGTTAGAATTCCAAATGTAAATCCATTAATATGTAATTGGATCACTACAACTATAATTTAATGTTTCACAACTCAACGGCCTAACAATACTTATGAATATAGGTTAAGGATATTATTTAGTTTCATCAAAATTATGGATCAGACTTAGCCTTCTTGAAAGACAATTAATTTATACACATGGAAATCTAATGCTTATTGTAAAGATAAACACTTAGAGTAGCAAATGTGCCTTCAGTATTCTTAGATAAAGGGAATACTGAGTGTGAGAAAGTATTCTATTTAGTCTTAAAACAATAAAGTTCTATTATCAATTCGACCTATCATATACTTGAAGGCTTAGTGTGTAAACGTTGAAGTAGGCTTAGAAAGTAACAAAACGATTAAAGAGTTGTAAGCGAGGTTATCTCTGTTTGTTTAGACACCTAAATGCCATAGTCACGGACACTCGATCACAACAACCCACTGACTTACAAGTACTTCTATGATTCTAATTACAGTTGTTGTTTTTGTTCGATTTCACGTGATATGATAGCAGATATCCTTCACCAACATTCAGATAGTAACTAATCTGAATGTTCTAGAGTTCACCTTTTTATGTAGAACATTACAACTAGCAACTTACCAGACATTGAATTTCAAAAGTACACACTAAGAAATTTCAATTGAATCGTTACTGAATCGATTGTTTTTCACAGTAAAATGTCTGGGTGTTATTGGGCTAGTTGTCTAGACCACATTGTACTTTCTATTCTTCACATCTCCATATTGTTCAAAGGTCAACAGTGTTGCCACTCATTCTTCACTTGTCCTCAATATGTTCTTTTCTAACATCAGCTTAGTGTTTTCGTCCTTTGGTGTCCTTAAAATTTTTTCTACTTTTGTGATTGTGAGTGATTCATTAACATTGTTCTTAAATAACCTTGTCTGACCTTTTATTAAGAGAGTTTTGTTGTTGATGTATTTTTCATACTCTCTCTCTCTCTCTCTATATATATATATATATATGTATATATATATATATAAATGCATTCGTACAGAAACACTGTACATATTTACCTTTATGGTTTTTTAGGTTATAGGTGACTGTTTCGGCATATTTATGTGCACAGTATAAAATAAATCACATGAAAATCTCCAATTTAGTCTGAAGCATAGTTTAATCTCTCTTTAAACGAATGATATCATAACAGACTGTTAACTCTCGCATGTTAAATAAATGGTACTCAGTAAATACTTATTTTTTAGCAAAATATAATACCAAAAACATTCCAACAATTCATTCTTTTGTTGGTTCATTTTAGCATAGGCTCACTAATTTAGAGAACGAAAAATACATCAACAGCAAAACTCTCTTAATAAAAGGTCAGACAAGGTTATTTAAGAACAATGTTAATGAATCACTCACAATCACAAAAGTAGAAAAAATCTTAAGGACACCAAAGGACGAAAACACTAAGCTGATGTTAGAAAAGAACATATTGAGGACAAGTGAAGAATGAGTGGCAACACTGTTGACCTTTGAACAATATGGAGATGTGAAGAATAGAAAGTACAATGTGGTCTAGACAACTAGTCCAATAACACCCAGACATTTTATTGTGAAAATCAATCGATTCAGTAACGATTCAATTGAAATTTCATAGAGATTGGTTACACAGAAACATTCATTATTGATAGCCAATTGTGCCAGTGATTGTTTTACTTTACTCTTTGTTTATTCGTGCTCTTTGTAAGCGCAAACTTTCCGTTTGTGTTGCTGCCATTTCGGTTATACGGCTTGCTGTAACTTCGCCCTTTTTCTGTGGTACGATTGTGGTATTTCTTCGATACCACGAAATTGCCAGAAAATATATTCTTTACCATGGATTTATTTTGCTTTTCAGTGACGGGTTCGTAATTAGTATTTAATGGTGATCATAGACATTGTCGACTCGATCCCCACTAAACTAGCATAGGACATTCTCCTACTCACTAGACTGTTTTTTTGACAGTGGTGTAGTGAAATACTTTTATGAAGAGAACGCGAGTGGTTTAATAGAAACATTCATTATTATGACCAATTGTACCAGTGATCGTCTAACTGTACCTTTGGTTTACAACACACTTTACGCGCAAACGTCCGTTTGTGTTGCTGCCATTTTTGTTCCACAGGTTCTGTAATTTCGCCGATCTTTTCTGGCAAGATTTCGGTGTTCTTTCGATATCACGAAGTCACCAGAAAATATATTCTTTACTATGGAGTAACCCTTATTCTATGTGACGGGCCATAATAAGTATTTAGTGGTGATCGCAGTCAATCTCAAATCAATCACTATTAGAATTGGTGAGCTGAC